GACGCCTCTCCCTCCACCGAAGGGATATCCCTTTACTGGGGATCCGTGCGTATTACCTTGAATGTGCAGCGTAACAAATAGCAGAAGGAAAAGTGAAAAAAAAACACTGAAACGAGCCTGACCCCTGTTCGATACGCCAGGTGGGGCTAACCCATGCCGACCATGTCGCCGTACCTCTGCTGCGATGGCTGTCAGAACAGTGCAAAACTCTAGCGCATCAGAAGAGCCCGAGCGATAAAGCATTGGCTGTTGAAGAATCACTTTTATGGATGTGACACGCATTCCACTTCCAATTAGAATTGAACTGGACTGCATATGTAATGACTTGTACAGCACAGCTGGAGTATGTACGTCAGTTTCTTTATTCTCCCAAGCGACTCAGCTGGTACCGACTTATCGTCCCTGGAGAGTAGAAGGATTGACTTTTCAGGTTGAGTTTACTCCTGTCCTTCGCAATACTTGGCGCTTTTCTTTTGGTATCTTTTGCAGTCAGGGCACGCCGTTGTGGAATCCCCACCGGGAAGGTCGTATTTGGACGGCGAAGGGAGGGAGGGGTCGTACTTGATCCGAGGAATTTTCTTTTGATATCTAATTTTCCTCCACGCACGCTTTCTTCATACATCATTGCCTTGTGGCTGTGGAAATGGGGTGGGAGGGGGGGAGGGGGGAAATGGGGGTGGGGGGGGGGGGGGGGAGGTGGACCTTTCTGAAATTTAGCCCAGTGGCAGTAAGTGCCCTATTTGCACTGATAACTCGAACCCTTGTTTCTCTTGTTTCTTTACTGCTCTATTCCTTTTTGTATGCTATAAAAATTTTGAAACTGAATAACTCACAAACAGATCGATGCTAAAGTAAACGCCTAGGATGCGCCACGCGTTGGGCTTCCGCTAGTGTTTGTATGAGTAGAGGCATTTGAGGGGACACTAGGTTTACGCAATAAATTGTAAGTGTCACGAGATTTCCAAGTATTACTCTTTAATCTCGAGGGCACACACGGTTCCATGTAATTGATACCGAAGGAAAAGAGTCTGATTGGCTTGAAAGGTACCCGAAATACTGACTTGCGCCTCTAAGCTGTTGCGCCACCTCACTGGAATTCCTTTCGCCCAGCAGGATACACCGTCGTTTGGATTTCCCTACGAAGGGACTACGACCGTACTTGCAGGCCACTACAGCAGCGTTGTGTGAAACACAACAGTCGTACTTTTCCGCTGGGGAGGGGTCGTATGTGCCTTCAAGAGAATTTGCTGCGTTGGGAAAAAATTTCTCCTGGTTGTTGACTTTTTGTGATTTTTCCTGTTTCATGTGTACTATATGTATAAGCCACCCCCGCTCGCTCGACGGAAAATTTGTGGGTAAAAAACTGGAAAATGTGGGAAATTGGTAGGTAGGTGTTGGGGAAGGGAGGGGGGGGTCGTACCTACACCACCATTTCACACATCACGATGCTGTACCCTGCGTAGTACATACCTGACCGCGGTGTGGAGGAGGGGGACGGGGGGGGGTCGTAAGCGGCGAGTCGGCCCTTCCAGCTACGAGTAGCGCAAAGGTGTAAATTTCGCTTATTGTTGCAGTGAGGAACGGAATTTTGCAGAGTGCTTGGATGTGCGAAAAACATACTAAAATAAAAGGTGCCGTTCGACTTGGAGGGGCACCATATGTAGACAGTAGCGCTTGTACAGGTCATCTTGTGGACACCTGTAAATCCTGTGTCACTTGTATGCTACATAGTTTCACAGGAGTTTACGGGTTCCATTAAATGAGATCTGTTTGTTAACATGAACCGGCAAAAGGAAATAGCGAAAGCAAACACAAAGAACAAGTGACCCTCCCTCATAAACTCAACAGCCCCCAACTTCCCACTGTCCTGTTACTTGATACGATAACAATTAATCTGGTATTCTCCGGCATAGTCCTTTGGTGGTTAGAAACCGAACATCTATCCCTTCCCTTCACCCACGAGACGAAGGCAGAATTGTGCGGCCAGTAAAGGACGGAAGGGCTTTAGCCGCAGCTGGCCCCGCAACGAAAGCACAGTAACCGTTCCAAGCGAGCGCGCCCGACTTTTCAATTTTTTTTAGGGCTCTCTCTTTTCTCTCTTACTTTTAACGATGGTTAGTTTTGATGTGGTCGTCTTCTTGTTTCTTTACAACTTCACGAATGCTGGGTTTATTTTGTACGTTCGTGTTGTTTAGAATGTTGTTTCTTCTTAAGCGAGGAATTGGGAGTCTGTGTATCGAGTTGGTTATTCTTCTACGTTTCCATTTCTTATTCTAGTTTGCTGGTTCTAGGTCGGGTAACTGCGGTAATCTGGTTGCAAAATGTCAGAAGTCCCACACTATGTGCTCTATGAGCACGCTGTGGGATATGCGTTAATGAAAATCAAGGAATTCGAGGATGCAGGACTGATTATCGAAGAGGTAAGCCTTCAGATTCTCGCGAAATTGTAGGCCAGTGTGAATTCCTTACAGTGAATGTTTGGCTGAATACCGAAGCTTAGCGTGCATGAGCTAATCATTCGAAGCTTATTTTCGAATGATTAGCACATGCACGCTCTTCTGGCCTACGGGAAAAAGTTTACAAAATTTCAGCTCATCTTATTTTTTTTTATTTACTTATCTAAATCTCAAATGAAATCATCATAAGTGAGAGAGCTCTGCGTTCTTTTGCTTTTTTGGAGTGTTTTTACTTGTTTCTTCTTCAGTCAAACGCATCGTTCTAACTGAAGGTTGACGCATCTATCGCGTGATGTTTTCAATTTAGTTAGTGGGTATCGTCAAGTTGGGCTGCTTTTGATGTTCAAGAACACCCGAAGCTGGCTATCCGAGAATGCTAAATGCTAATCTCCGAAGGTATTACCAGTTTCCGGAGTTTCTCCGGCGTGAATTATACCCCACACCACATGTGGAAGGCGTAGCTGCCCCCTTATCGAGCGTGGCGAACGCTAGAACGCGTTTATCGTGGAATATTTCCATTTGAGGAATTTCACGTTCTATCTTGGGCTGATCAAAGATTCGATCCAAACTGTCTCAAAACGAAAATATCGCGCTAAAAGCGCAGCCGCCGCTGCATTCGTAATGTGGTA